GTGGCTAGTTTTTCTTTTTCTTATATAATTAAGTTTTGTACTATTTTCTTTTCCTACTTGGTTTAATTTATTCTTTTTCTAAGATCTTGTAACTCCCTATATAAGAGAACCTTATGTTAATGAAATAAACATAATCATTTCCCCAATATCACAACAATGTTATCATTACTAAATAAATAAACTGATGTAAACTACAGAAAAATATATATTGTTGATAATTTTAGTTTTTTATTTTATTTTTCAATATTTTTAGGATGAGTTTCAATGAGATATACACTCACCATTCCAATTGCTAAAACTAAATTTTAGTTTTTCTTATTTTACTTTCCACTATTTTCTACCTATGAGGTATATTTACTCTTTTTTTTGTTTACTTAGCATTACCTAGTTAGAATAGTAATTTTTTTTTACTACTTCATACTTATAAGTTTTTTTTTTGTCAACCACCCATCTAACTAGATCAAGTGGTCGTCAGTTGAGCCGATTCTCCGAGAAGCATCTCCGTCTGGTCGGGTCTGATCTATATGGGAAAATGTATATCCTCTAATCCTTGCTTCTTTTGCTAACGCGTCCGCTCGACCATTCCTACTTCGGTAAATATGAGACATGCTCACATCCTCGAAATCTTCCTTTAATCTCTGAAACACTTTAATCTTTGTCCTAAAAGTCGGCAAATCCTCCGGGGTTAGTAGTCATGTCCACTAAGTCCGAGCAATCCGTCTCAAATCGTATCGAAGTTATCCTTCTATCTCTCATACATGAGGCTGCCCAAAGTAAACCTTCTATCTCCGCATGAAAAGCTGAGAGGCTCCTTCTGCACGCTCGTAATCCGTAGACTTCAGAACCCATTTGATCCTTAAGACTCCACCCTAGGCAACTAACACTACCATCATCGATCCATGACACATCAATTTGGCAGGTAGGAATTTAGAGTATCCAAGGAGGTATAGTCTCAACCTCTGTAATAGGAGGGTCATCATGATCCTCGTTTGCCTCCTCTCTTTCATTAGCTTTTCTCCAACATTATGTCTCAAGAGACGCGTGTTGGAGAGTGTCAATTGGGGATACGACTTTCCCATTAAAGACTTTGTCGTTCCTCGCCTTCCAAATGTACCAACAGATCCATGGGAAGGTGTCGAATTGTGGTCTCAGTGGAGCCACATCTTTTCTTTTCCAAAACAGAAAGTTCATGTTTTGGTATATAGATATACTCGGGAAGTAACCCGGAAGGAACGGATAGTCCAATAAAGCCCAAACCTGGAAGTCTGGGGGCATTCAAAAAGAAGATGATTAATCGACTCTACCAGGCCAGCACATCTAGGACAACTCCTATCGGTGCCCAAGTGTCTATAAGTGAGTCTATCTGCTGTCGCCACACAGCTCGAGATAGCCTGCCACAAGAAATGTTTCATCTTATTTGGAGCCTTTGTCTTCCACACGTGGCTCTGAAAACTCGTGATGCTTGGTTCTAGTTCGCTTCATGTGTGACTCCTCTTGTTCGATTGGAGTAGGTCATAACCGGTCTTAACTGAGTACACTCCTGATGTTGTGTGGTTCCAAACATATCCATCTGGAGTATGAGAGCGAGAAGGTTCTATCCCAAGTATCAAAGTGATATCTTCTGGTTGAAAAAATTCCCGTAAAAGTTGTATATCCCACTCCTTGGTATCATTTCTAATAAAGGACTGAACACGAAGTTGGGGTAATCTGTAAACAATGTGATCGGCAGGTCTAGGTGGTCGAGCTACTAAGTCTGGAACCCAAAGCTCACCTCAACCCCTCGTATCTCGACCCATACCAATTGTTTTCGTAAACCTGATATGAGAAGAGATTTTGCTGCCATGATACTACACCATCCATATGATGGTGAGTATGTTCGTCGATCATCCAAAGGAGAGCTTTTTCTGTAGTATCTTCCCTTTAAGACACGTGCCAGTAGGGAGTTCAGGTAATGGATTAATCTCCATAACTGTTTTGCAAGAAGTGCTATATTGAAGTCATGGAGATCTCGAAAACCTAGTTCCCCCGAATCCTTTGGGTTACAGATCTAGTCCCATGCTATCCAATGTAAACCTCTGATGTTTTGTTTTGAGCTCCACCAAAAATTAGAAGTTGTGCTCCTTAGTTTATTGGTAATGCCTTGTGGAATCAAGTAACACGATATTGGAAAGGTCGGAACTGCTTGAGCCACAAATTTAATTTGAATTTCTTTTCCTCCTTTGGAGAGGAGTCTCGATGACCAAGTGTTGACTCGCCCATTGAGCCGATCTTGTATATATGAAAACACTTTCATCTTTGCATCATCGATTTGTTCTGGTAATCCAAGGTACATCCCAATGTCTCCTTCAGAAGAAAAGCCTAGTGTTGGGTCCAAATATGACCCGTTAGCTGAAATTAGCAGATCGATTAATTTAGCCTAATGATGGGCCGCACATGGGTTATCATTTCAAAGGAGAACGAAGCTCACCTAAAGACGGAGGCTACTTCTGGGGATTCTTACGAAAGAGGTCACGAAAAAGAAGTCATGGAAAAGAGGTTCGGCTTCTCTTTCAGGGACCTAACAAAAACAGCTTAGGATACGAAGTAAGAGGCGTACGATTCGGTCAAATCCGAGTTGTTGTAAATCCCTCAACTCATGGAGCAAATCTCGGAGGTCGGTTGAGATCGTTTGAACGTAGCCTGAGGCTATTTAAAGGGAAGAAAGACGAAGAAGAGGGGGGATTTTTGATGAAACCATTTTTTACACATATTTTTGCCCACAAAATATTTTCATAATTCTTTGTAACGATTGGAATCATCTTTGTAGTCATTATTCATCAATACAATCATAATTCATTCTCTAAAGTTCTAACGGGATTCAGCCCACGTTATATTTCCTCAACCTTAACTTGATCTAAAAACTAGGAAGTGAGTTTTACTCCTCACACCTAGGACCTCTTTTATATCCTTCTTCAAAGAATACTCCACTTGATTTCCAAAAAACATTGAGGATTTTGACGCATTTAATCTTTGTAGTGACGTCTTTCCATATATGTCAAGAATGTCTATGATCTCCTTGCATTGGCTTAAATCTGCCTTACAGAAAAAAGACTGTCATCTGCGAAGAGAAGATAAGATATCCTTGGGCTCGCTTGCGCAACACGGAGACCGACAATTTTCTTCTCCGCTTCTGCTTCATTTAAAAGTGAGGTCAAAGCCTCTGTACACAAGATAAACAAAAAGGGGGAGAGGGGGTCTCCTTGCCGCAAACCCCTACTTGGAAAGATCCACCCTCTTGGTTGTCCATTGACTAAAACTTGATATGAGACCGACGTGACACAACACATAATGAGGTCAACCAGTCTTTCATCAAAGCCCATCTTCACCATCAAAGCTGCTAAGAACCTCCATTCCACTCTAATGTAAGCTTTGTTCATATCTGTTTTAATAGCCATAAATTCTGTCCTACACCTCTGATTCGTTCGTAGGACGTGGAAAGTCTCTTGTGCTATCAGAATATTATCAGTAATCAAACGTTTTGTCACGAAGGCAGATTGTGTCTCTGAGATCCTCTTGCATAATAGCTTAGATATAATCTTATATCTAACATTGCAGAGACTAATCGGTCTGAACTCGGTCATGTCTTGAGGTTTCTTCTTTTTAGGGATGAGATATATATTTTTCTGGTTCAAAATTGGGTCGAAGCTGCATGTCGCGAAGAAGTCTTGTACAAGTCTAATAATGTTTTGTCGCATCTCACACCAGAATTTCTGAAATAATTTACTAGTCATGTCATCCGGTCCGGGTGCTTTGTCAGGGTTAATCTAAAAAAGACTCTTCTAATTTCATGTTCCGACGGTTCCTCTAAGAGTAACCTATTGTCGGCTTGGGTCACCTTATCTTATAAGTTATACTTCCTATTCTTTTGGTTTTTACTTAGTATTTACTACGACTAGGACTATTCTTCGGGCTGTTATCTATAAATTAGTATTCCACTTTTTTTGCTAAAGGTTACTATTTTTAGGCCTTCCAAATATGTATATAACACCTACAGCTACTACTCAACAAAACACACTAAACAAAACCTCCCAAACAATAGCTTTCTTTAGAAATCAAGCAATTGGAATGGTGTTAATGTAAGTTAATTTTATAATTTTTTGTGCTAATGTACCTATTACTTTTGATACCTAGATTAATAGTAACATATTTATTAGAGTGTAATATATTTTTTTTGTTTTACAAATATAGCTATTAATATATTTTTATAATATACAACTACTGATGCTTTTTTTTGGACAAAGCAACTACTGATTTTATTTTATAGTATTTGATTTACATAAAATTCTACACTTACCATAATTTTATATAGGTATAGCTCATCAGGGACAATCATCAGAAAAAATTTTCATTTTCATTTTGTTAATTTAAAAAGTAAAAAGCAAAAGCTGAAAACCAAAATATAAAACAACTAGTCATGCTTTTTTGAAAAATCAAAATCTACTACGAAATTAAAAATTAAAAACTAAAATTTAAAAACCAAAAACTAAAATCTAAAAACTAAGAAACAATCATCACCTAAATTAAACTAGAAACCCACTAAATTCAAGGCATTAATCACGCAACAACCTATTTCCGATCACGAAAGTTTGTTTAATCGGACTGTTCGGGGTTTAAAATGTATGTAAACCCACAAAGGATTACATTAACTAAATTTAGACCCTCAACATTGTAAATTTAGTTAATGTAAAGATTCAACATGGATCATACATTAACTAACCAGAAATATGTCAGAGACTAATACATGGACAACTAGCTATGGTAGCTAATACATAAGACTAATACAAACAAAGTATTAGTTCCTAGTATACGTAATTAGCTAGCCACTAATCAACAATACAAAACACAAACTAAGAGCATATAAATTAGCAAGAACGACACAAGCTTCATGCTTAAAACTAAAACTAGTTAACCAGATCTGTGGACAGTAACTTGGTGATCTCTAGAGAAATATTATGGTTTCTTCAAAAGAGTTCTGCACTTGTTAGATCTCGAACCATTTCACACGGAACCAAACAAACATCCTTCATCTCGGAGGTGTTAAGCTTCTCCGCAATTCTTCTTCTCCTCTCTCGAGCCACCATGCTCTGAGATGAAAGCTTTGGTTTCTTGGCGCCGTCTTGTTCTCCTAGTCCTGCCTTGAACACCAAGGGGAAATCCGGAACTGGAAAATCCCATAAGACGACGGAAGCTTCTGGAACGAAATCCGGGTTAGGTTTTGGAAAATGGTTGTGAGTGTTACAGTAGTAGCGCGTTTTGTCGAAGATTTCAGCTTTATTGTAAGGAAAATAGGTTTCTTGGGGAGGAAGAAACTGGTCGCGGAAAGAGTCCAAGTTAGTGAGCTCTAAAAGGGTCTGTGAAGGAGCTTCGTCTTGAAACAATGGCTGATGAAACTGCATTTTTGATTGAGATAAAAAGAAATCATGGAGCTGGATAGGATCCCAATTAAAGAAATGGCTTAAACAATCCATGGACGACGTTGAGAAAATGAAACCTGTAGAAATGAAGAAGGTGCAGCAATCAGGATGAGTTACAAAGTATTGTAGTAGATGGTTATTAAGCTTTAATAATTAGTAACGAGCTAATAGATGCTATAAAAAAAACTTATTAGACAAATATAAATCAAAGACAAGAGAGGATATATGAGAGAATCAAAGACCTGGAGATTGATTTTTAGAGGATAATGTCGTGTCTTTTGTTTTGATTTAAGTGAGACTTCAACGTCGTAAATTGTAAGTTGTCTACTCGTTAACTAACTCAATAGACATATATGTGAGAGACAAAATGTGAGGGTTTTAAAGCGGGAATAAAGGAGCGGTTACTCTGGGTTTTAGATTTTTTGGTAACGATCTTCCTAATTATTAGGGAATAATATATATATTTATATTTAATTCGGTGATTGGTGTATTTGTTTTTAAACTGTCAGAGATGTAAAAAAGTGTCAAATATTTTTATGAAAATTAAAAAGGGAAAATTTGGAGAAATACACTTACTTGAAAATTTATTTTGAAATTTACACCATTATATAAGTTTTTTGAAAATAAACTTTTGTATATATTAATTTACTAAATTATCCCTTCTCAATATTCAATATTATGTCATTATAACCCTATAATTTATTTAATATTAAATTTAAGAATTTCAACAAAAATAATTTTTCAAAAAAGAAATATCTATAATATTTACACAATATATTTTAATATATCTAGATATTTTATTTTATTTTGGAAAGAAAGAACAAGTGAACTTCGTCGATCTCGTCTTGCTTCTTAATATTTTGTTCTCCATTTTTCGAAGACATTTTTCTTTCTCTAATTTCATTTTCTTCTCATTCATAGGTTTGTTAATTTTTTAGCCATCCCTTTACAGTGTAATTCATTGTCGCAAAAAATGATTTGGTTTTTCTTCGTCATTTCACCCAGCATATATTTACATTCTCCACTAGAGACCTTATAAATTATTTGGTTCTGTTTATTTTCTTAGAAAACTTTAGTGAATCACTCCTACTTTAGGCTCGTCACTACTCTCAAGAGATCCTGACTTCTTTTGGTCTCTTTAATAAGAAAATTCTGCATATTCTTATGCTAAATGATCTGCTCCTCTTTCCAATTTCTCCTAGTGTATCCACTTCAGAGACACTGGCAAAACTTGACAATTTTGAACTGTTAATATTGTATTTTTCAAATTATCCCAATTAAATTTTTGAATAATATTACGTTTATATAAAATATATAAACATGCAGTATATTACTACAGAATTTTGGCAGGACGATTATTTCCATCATAAAAATATAATTTAAGAAAATTGAGCCTCTAAGTAAGTATGGTTTGGTATAGTACCAATATAAGAGTAACGGTCACGTATAAATTACTTTTTGGCGACTATTTATAATTAGTGCCTATGTATTAAGGGGATATTTGGATAAATGCACTCAAATAAGATTATAATTTGAAAACTACACTATTGTTTAAGTTTTTGGAAAAATACACTTATCTATATATAAATTTACCAAATTGCCCATTTTTAATATTTCTCAATTCTTAACATATATATATTTCTTTAAAAAATAGAAAAGTCGTTAAAGAATGTATATAATATCTTTTCAATATATCTACACAATATCTTTTCTATATCTTTTTAATATATTTTTATTTTTTTATTCTTATGCATAAAGCAAGATGTCTAAACATTTGAAGTTTTTCTGTTCTAAACATTTTTCTGCAAAATTTGGTTTTGGTTAGTCTATGTTTTGGTAACTGTTTTAGTTTTATTTACAATAAGGTTGATTATTTTGACAACACTTGTTATGTTTTCCATTTGTTCTACACCTTTGAAGAACCTTGCTTCTGTTCAAGTTCGAAATCTGCAAATGCTCGTTCTAGTTCCATACTCTTATCTGATTGATACTGAGAGAATTCCATACAGGAATGAGTTAAATGATTTGAAACTACGTTGCAGTTGGAACTTTCAGGTTATGTTAACACTCACTAAAAAGAGTTTCTGATCCATCAGATCATAATACACATTTAAACAGTGTCTGTATCCAAACAAAGATTTAAGTTAATAGTAGTCTAGGCTTTCTCTTGTAATAGAAGCCACAACTTTCTGGGTATTTTATTGAGATGAACGACTTCTCCCACCTTACAAACATAAGTCTTTTTCTAATAAGACTTTTTCAACTATTCATTTTGCATATAGGAAGAGGGCAGACCCGTGAATCTACCTTAAAACCTACAAAAAATAATTGATGCTTTCGTCTCTCCTCATTTGTATACACATCTTGAACCTGTCAAACCAACGAACACAAAAGTTTTTTTTTTTTTTTAAGTTTTTTTTTATCACACCAATCTTCTACTTCAGCTTTCTACATCATCCTCTCGATGAGTTTGTGTTTCTATGTCTATGCTTGTTGTGCCAACTTACTCACATTGGTTTGCAATAATCAGAGTATGTGCATTCCAATATATTTAAATAAAAAACACTAGCAAAGATGGCTGTGCCCCCGCACATAGAACTATAGTTGAAACCACAACACAAGGTGATAATTTTGGAACCACTAACCCCATCAATTGCACATATCAGAGCACACTAATCTCCAAAATGACTTCAGGAAAATGATGATAAAAAAAAGAAATCCTAGTTTCAATTACTAGCTATTATATCTTCCTCTAGAAATTTATTGTGTAGTCTAAATCATCCCATACTATGAGATCTGTGCACACTCTCGGAGAGTGACCGCATCCCCAACAGTCCAGTATTACTGGTTTCACGTACTAAAAGGAACAGTATTAAAGCTATTGATGCTTTCTATACACGAAGTGAAACTCCCAGTTAAACAAATAACAGCAACAGAAACGGCTACAACATATACTGTTCTTGAACAACTAATGATGATATTTTTCCTTATGATTATAGTTTTGGTATAACCCTACATTCGGTTATAAAAACTAAGAAATAAGCACAATGATTTATGAGTTAAATAAAAAATAAATAATTATAATCTTCTTAATTATTGAAATATCTAACTTGGATAAAAAGGTAAATTTACATTTAATAAAGTGTAGTTTTCAAAAATAAAATAAAAGGTGTGTATTTTTAAAATTTCAAATCCTAAATAGAGTATATTGCAAATTATCTCATGTATTAAACTGGAATAGTATTAACTATTATTCCGCACAATCTACTTAAAAAAAAATCATCTGATCATTGTCATAATTATCAATCAGAATAATATTATTTCAAACCATTATGAATAGTTGCACATAATATTATAGATATCTGCAATTAAACAAATCAGTTGAAGGGGTAAAACAATAATATTATTAAATGGATACATATTTTTTTTTCAAAAATGTATCAAAATAGAAAATATAGTTATGAATACTTTATCTGATCCGTTAACTTTATTAGATGAATCTATACCAAGTAAAAAACATTTAATTAATCTAAAGTTAATTTGTATATGATGATTTTATATAAAAATTGCAAACAAAATTTACTTCTTACGATTTAAATTGACGATCTCATTGACATTTTATGTTATTTCATAATCTAAAAAACATAGATTAAACGAATTTCACTGATATTTCTTACTTTGATAGTTTGTTTAATTTATAAGATTGAAATTTATAAAGTTTGTTTGCGTTTTATTAAAGCTTAATGAATTTTCTAGAAATCTAATCTATTAAAGATGAAATACAAATAGGAAATTGTTTTTAGTTTTGCTCAATATTTATTGTCTTTACCACTGATATTTTTCTTAAAAACTTTACTGATTATATTGTTAAGATTTCACATCATTTTACAAACAAAATAACAAGCCCATTAACATATGTTTACGCAATGGTTTAATTTATATCTCTCAAAGTTTAAAACCATAAAGTAGATTTCTCTTTAGTGACACTACAGTGCCGAGCTCTGCATAAATTGGGTTATATCTATTAGCAAACTAATATTATACTATTGTTTAATCAAATGCCAACATCTAATTGAATTAACGTTAAAGACCAGAACTATTGCATAACCTCATACTTTAATTGACGAAAAAATCAATAAACATGAATGTTGACCAATGCAAGTATCACACCATTATCTAGCTATGCATAAGTTCGGTTAAGGTTAAATTGCTATTTCATAATAAATCTTGTGAGATTTTATAAATTGTTATTTTATAATAATTTTTGTGAGATTTTATTGGTATGTACTAATAACTGATAGCAAATTAAATTACATATAAAATAAATTGAATAAAATATATGTTGTTACAGATTTAAATTCTATAAAAACAAAATGTATTAGAGATATTTAAATAGTTATTCAAAAATAAAAACTATACATCTATAAATTAATTAAATAATTTTGGAGAGAACCAAAAAGGTTATTATACAAAAGGTGAATTACATATGATACCATTTTGATTTTTGAATATCCAAAAATATGTTTTCAAGCAAAAGAGTTGGGATAAAACTAGGATTCCCGAATATGAACAACCAAACTAAATTCGACCTAAAAATAGTATCAATTCCAAACCAAAATTGGTTAAATACTTAAATGGATTTAAAATTTTGGTATCTAGATAAATGAAACTGAACACCATTTAAACCGAAATATTTAATAAGTAATTATTTTTAGATTTAATATTCCAAATGTATAAAATATTTTGAAACTGTTTAAAATATTGGAAAATATATATAAATAATCATAAGTAAATATTTAAAATAGCCAAACAATACTCAAATAAAAAAAAATACTTAAAATATTTATTGATTCTCCATCTAAATATACAAGTCAAACCATGTTTTATGTAAAACTTAAGCATTTTTTCATATATTATTCAAAATTTTTATATATTAATTTTATATTTTAGTTTTTGATAAAATCAAAGTATACATGTATTTA